AAAACAAAACAAAACAAAACAAAACAAAACAAAACAAAACAAAACAAAACAAAACAAAACAAAAAAAAAACAAAACTTAAAAAGAAGCAATCCTTTCACTGTAAAGGATCACTATCAACAAAAACTGGAATTCTGTGTGCCCAGACTTTTGCATCACTATCACATATGTAACTACAAATGAGGGGCAAAACATATTTGTATGAATTTAAAAAAAAGGTGGCTGGGTATTCAATTATGTATTCAGCTACATTTTCAATATGTATCAGGAACTACACGGCTATAAGTCAATATGAGTAAAAACAATCATGGTATCTAAAGACTGAACTTGCTACAAGTATAAACAACATGTTCCAGAGCTTGAAATGTATTACCCACGGTATCTAGTAAATAATCATACTATCCAGTAAATGTTGGAAATGATTCCATCTCTCATTTCTGCAAGATTCAGTATTATCTAGTAGTGCAGACAGATTGCAGTCCACATATGGCAGATTTTGAGTAAATAAATCTGCCATTTAAAAATCAGTACTGAATATGAATAGAATTGGGCATAGCCATGACAACATTAGGGATGTCATTGCTGAAAATTTCTGGTAAGTTAACCAATTATATTACATGCATGCACCCGTATAGTACATAAAGGCAAGGATATAAGGATCATATTGACTCTTTTTTTTTAAATGTTTTTTACTTATTTTTGAGAGAGAGACACACACACAGAATGTGAGCAAGGGAGGGGCAGAGAGAGGGAGACACAGAATCCAAAGCAGACTCCAGGTAGCGAGCTGTCAGCATAAGCCCGACGTGGGCCTTGAACTCACGAACTGTGAGATCATGACCTGAGCTGAACGCTTAACCGACTGAGCCACCCAGGCACTCCAAGGATCTTATTGACGCTTAAGGTGACAAACAAACTGTTATGGAATACCAAGACCCAAAAACTAACCAAAAAATCCCAAACAAGGTGCAGGGTACAATAGTCATGAGCTTCTCAAGAGCTCATTTTATCTTAAATAGGAATGAAAGAAAACTTGAACCAGAGGAGTTATAGTCTAATGTGAAACAACAAGGGACAAATTTAAAACGATGATTTTCCATGTTCCTGTGTTAGGTAGAATGGGTGGTAAGAGACCGTCATCTGCTCTGTTTGCTAAGCATAGCATCAAAGTGGCAAACTCATTAAGCTAGTGGTTAAGTTAGCGACGTTGAAGAATGAAAAGCAAATCGATCGGCTGTGGGATGGGGCCTCTCACCTCTTGCCTGTCGTCCGGGCCCACAGCCCTCCTGGGCTCCAGGGCTGTCCTGTTGCACACTCCAAGGGACTAACTGGCACCTGCGCCATTTGTGAGTCTTCCACCTACAAGAGGAGAACAGAAGCCTCACACAGAGGAAGCAAACACACAAGGCGAACCAGAGACCTATGGTGGCACGGAAACATGACTCCGAGCGCTGCAAAGGGGAATTTATTTCAATATGTTCAGTCCTATGTAAGTGTAGTTTAGATCTCTATCAAGACACAGAAAAAAGGAGCATTAACTATAAAAGTACTTTCTATGGCAGTGGAGACAAGAGTCCGTCATGGTCGCTTTCTACAGAAATGAACTCTATCCATGCGCTTATTAGCCTTTTGTTAAAAAAGTGAAGTACAGTTAATACTTCTTACATTAGTTTCAAGTACAACCGCATTTAGCCTTTTTATTGATTAGGACTGGCATCAGTGTAAGCTACAGTACTAGAAGTGATGCATCCCATTTAAATAAGTTATGTTTATTTTAGGAAAAGTTTTCAATTAGCAATAATCGCGCCTCGGGTAAACCTCATTGGCTACGATACTACCACTGCGCAAAGCTAGGTTATGTTTATTTTATATTCAAGTTATGAAACTGTATTCAGGTCAGGAGCCTTTTATCATTTGGTTAACAATGTAGGTGTAAATCAGAAACTGCGATTACAATACATTTTACAAAAACAAATCCCCCAAAGAAATAAGTTTGGGCTGAGAGTTGTCAGGCAGTGTTCATAGTAAACATGTGATTATACCGTCTGTCATATCAGCATTAAATACAGGTAAATTAAGAGGGCAGACTTGCCATCAGATACACCTTAAGTTAGTTTTGATCACACCTTCTATCAATTAATGCCCTAATGCTTCATTTGTCATCAGATTGCAACGATATACCGCTTAAAGTTTCAATTAGGTGCCTTCTTTTCATAGTTATGGGGAAAATTTTCCCTAATAATTATCAACATGATGATAAACAGCTTGAATCACCTTAGTTTTCCTTGAGGTGGCCACAAATGAACAGAACAGACACCTTGTTAGCATCACTGAAATAAATATGTCATTTTGTAAGCCAGAATGCCAGCACATATGAGGAACAGGTGCTCTTTCGAGCCAGGGGAAGCATGCTTAGACTATTTATTCCTCTATCTGGAATGGAACTGCTTTTGTGTTTCATAATTATTAACCATTTTATGAATTTCTTTAAACATTTTTAAAAATGTTTATTATTTATATGTGAGAGAGGGAGAGAGAGACAGAGCACAAGTAGGGGAAGGGCAGAGAGAAAGGGAGACACAGAATCCGAAGCAGGCTCCCGGCTCTGAGCTGTCAGCACAGAGCCCCCCACGCGGGGCTTGAACTCACATGCTATGAGATCATGAGCTGAGCCAAAGTCGGGCGCTCAACAGACTGAGCCACCCAGGTGCCCCCACTTTTCTGAATTTCTTATAGTTTATATCAACATAAGGAACTTCCCCAATTCCCCGGAGCTAGTGATACAGTTTGGAAACGTACACAAGCGTTTGTCTCCCTGGAGATAATTCCAGTGCTGGAGCAGCAACTTTAAAGAGGCAAGAGATGGCACGCACAGCCATACATCATACAGACTCCACTGAGCCTGGGGAACAGCGCTGGCTTCCTTCTCTCATCGTCGAACAGAAAATGGTCTTGTAGTGTGTGCTCAGTGCACAGCTTACAACGGTTTTGTTTAGAACTCTATTACCTGTAGCTCTGGCACACTTGAGGGGCCTCACAGGCTCTCTCTTCGTAGAGCGGGTCCGTGCAGTCCCTGCCTCCATTGGCTGGCAGCTGAATGATGACCCGGTGCCTAGCCTGCTTCTTGACTCCGGAGTCCCCTGGAAGGAAGCAGCTTTTTAACTGCTGTACTCTGCACTGACAAACAATATCCAAATAGCAGCCTGTGTGAAGACATTACATGGATTCCAGCTATATATGCTTTGGCATCTGTGAATGAGCGGCCTCATCCACTCTAATTATTTCCTAACTTCTCCAGACTCTTATGCTGAACACCTGATCAATTTATATCCCCAAAATGTGAAGAAGAGAGAAAACAGTTGCATAGTCAACTAGCCTTCCTGATGTGCAGACACAAAGTAAATGCTCTTTTATATATTTCCTTCCCCTTGAGAAATATGACAGATCTAATTAATTTATTTTCCTCTACCTAAAGTTTATTTTTATGCCATTTCACATAGTCCTGATTACCACATGGGACTCATACAGTCCTGATGAATCTTTCTTAGGAGACTATATTCAATGTTTTAATGTGAAATTTTATTTCTTTGTTATTCACTTAATTTGAAATGCATACCTCATAAATTATTCTAGTCATTTATTATTCATGTTAAACAGTCTAAGATCTTCAATTCAGGTCACATTCTAAACATCAGGACTGTAACTAGTGAAATGAAAGTGGTTTCCTAGAAGCAGAATTTTTACAGAAGCATTCAAAATAGTAATTACTGTAAGTAAATAAATCCAAATTACATTTTAAAAAACCAATGGAAATAATTAAAATTTACCTTCAATGAAGATATCAGCTTGACAGTATTACTGATATAAAGATGTCCAAATATTTTTGTATTTGAAACAGATAAGGTATAAGACTTGTCAACTTTAATAAAAGATATTCCAATTTACAATATATACCCTTTAAGGATGGATGGCCACATGGCACAATTTTACTTAGAATTGTAAATTCTTTTTTTTTTTTTATAATTTTTTTTTTCAACGTTTATTTATTTTTGGGACAGAGAGAGACAGAGCATGAACGGGGGAGGGGCAGACAGAGAGGGAGACACAGCATCGGAAACAGGCTCCAGGCTCCGAGCCATCAGCCCAGAGCCTGACGCGGGGCTCGAACTCACGGACCGCGAGATCGTGACCGGGCTGAAGTCAAACGCTTAACCGACTGTGCCACCCAGGCGCCCCTAGAATTGTAAATTCTTAAGTAAATTGTAAATTACTTAAAAGAATTCCCTAAAGAATTATGTTAATAGAGCTCCCCGATGCATTTACATTTTTTGCAAGATCATTAAATATTTCATATGCAGTTATAGGAACAGAAAAATTTAGAAAGGTTAGCAGTCCCTAACAATGGATGGTTAGTAAAAAAAAAAATTAAATGAGGGGCACCTGGGTGGCTCAGTTGGTTAAGTGTCAGACTCTTGATTTTGGCTCAGGTCATGATCTCATGTTTCATGAGACTGAACCCCACGATGGGCTGACAGTATGGAGCCTGCTTGGGATTCTCTCTCTCCTCTCATTGCCCCTACCTGGCTCTCTCAGTGTCTCTCTCTCTTTCTCTCTCCCTCTCAAAGACAAACTTTAAAAAATCTTTCAAGACGTTAAATGAAACATTCTTAAAGTAACTGAGTCAGTAGAAAAATATGATGTGACAATCAGAACTTTCCTATAAGGGACATCTTTTCTCATGAAGCTGGGGTATCCCTGAACATGGGACTCTCAGCAGTGTGGACTGAAAATTTCCATATTAGATGGGAGGATGAATCAGATTAATGATTCCTAAATGTCTATGTAGAATAGTTTCTTTCAAAACATTAAAAAGGAAAACCAAAACAGATTTCTCAGCCAAAACCCAGAACTACTAAACCAGAATCTTTGTGAGCTGGGTTTGGGGATCTGATTTTTACAAAGCTTTCCAGGGAATTATGATGAAGAGCCAGGTTTGAGATCTACTAGAATAGATGACCCTGTATGTCACATACCAATTTAAGATTCTAGGGTTCACATGTGCCTTTTTAGGATTATTCCCATTGTGGGGGGAAACCTGTACTATGAATAATCAGAATACTACAGGTAATAAAGCAGGGAATTAGGGGCTGGAGGTAGTGGGTAGTAGAGAACTGAAGTATTTGAAAAAATTGTCATAGACTTTTTAACATAATAATAGCAGTTTGAGTGTCAGTTGCAACTTTTACATATTAAATATAATTTATCTAGGAAAGATCTAAGAAATGCCAATGGGACGGAGTTTTAATAAAATTGCTAATGCTGCCTCCATCCATTATGTTGTCCAGTGGCCCCTATTTTAAGGTCCAGGTAATAAATTCTTCTAATAATACAGAGCTAGGAAAAATTTTGTTTCCTTTGACAATCTATTAAGAATCTTACATGCTTCAACTTTTTGCTTTGTTCACCAGAATCTCAGGGCTACTTTTCTCCTCAATTGCAGGAGCTCACCTTAACTTTGACTTTATAGTACAATTTTTCTCTTCCTCTCCCCTCTCCAACTCCATTTACTACCTTCTTTTACACTTTCTATTATTTTTCTTTTTCTTTTTTTTTTTTTTTTTAGTGTTATGATCTGTCATATAAACTAAATAACCATTCTTATCATTTGTTTAGCATTGGGGGAAGAAGGGAGGTGTTTGTTGAACAAGGAAAAAAGGGAGAGAACACAGAGGAGCAGGTCTTCGTTTCCCAGGTGGTCAAGATTCTTAGAGTCAATAACTCACCAGCCCTTCCCTGCCTGCAGGTAGACAACAGACATGGAATCGAGACCCAGGGATCTGGAGCCTGGAGGAGATGACGAGTTCAGCATCACTGGCACTTTATACAGTAAAGCTCCTGGTCACTATCTGTCTAGATATCGCAGGGGACATAGGCAGGGCTGTTCAGATTTGAGAAGCAGCAGTTACTGTTTCAATCCTACTTCATTTTTTGACTTGAAAGGAAATTTTTCACTCCAGGTACAACTCTGAAACATTCTACTGCCTTTTCATCACAACATCCACGGGCTTGTATTTGATATATAAGATCACGGTAACTCTTTCCACTTCCACAATTGATTCCACAATGGCAATCCCTTTATTCTTTAAAGAAGTTCAAATACCTTAACCTTGTGCAACCCACAGAACAGACTGTGAGCTGATGAAAGCAGAACATTCCAAAGCTGTAACACCTGCGGAGGAAGTTTAATGGGTTTACACAGGAAGTGTCATGACATCCATGTTTCTATCCACTGGGAGGTTCACTTCTTCTTAGATGTCAGTTAGGAAATTACTTGTATACTCAAAGAAACAGCACTGTGGAACTCAGCCACGTTACAGAGTCCTCAGATCAGAATGCAGACAAAAGAAGAGCTACAGCACATGTTTAAAAGAAAAGTGGAAGGTTTCTCACTGATAACTTGAACCGACAAACTCAGAATTTTACAACCTTCATAGTTCCCTGCACATCTTTACACCCAATTTATTCTATGTGGTTGACAGACATGTATTGTTTCCATTTATATTTTAATAAATATTTGCTGAATGAGCAAACACATTTATTTCACTTCTCGACTGGAGTATAAGTTAGTGTCCTCTATCTCTTTTCACCCACTTCCTCATAGTAGGACGCACATGGGTATGAAGTCTGTGCACTGAGGATCAATAAAATATAAGGGATTGTTTTGTTTACTGGAAGTGATAAACATGGGGAAAACAAAGAAATATTCCTGTAGTGTTTATACTTGAAAATATATATCTAGGATAGGAATAGGAAAAAAAGATTATACCTTCAGAAAACAATTATGTGATAATGATGGTCATGAGGGACACAGACTCAAAGGGCATGCAATCTCTCATGTAGTTACGTCAATTTACAGATTTTAAGACAGTCAAGATACATTTCACCAGAGAAATTACTTGATGGGAGGACTTAAAGGGCAGGTAAAACTAAGATTTAAACTGGAAGTGAGATGGATGGCAGGCTGAGCAGCAAGCACAGTGCTAGGAAATTGAAAGGGAAAGGTTTCATGCAAGAAGCAAAATATAACAGTAGTTTTCACATCTTTGGGATAATTCTAGTGCTGTACTGCTTAAGGGCATCAAGATGGGATAGATACTTCTGCAATATCCCTTCTCGCTCTCAAGTCAATAAATGCAGTTAGAAACCAAGGATTTGAACAGTGAAATGTATTATTTCATCAAAAGTAATGATACTTTTAAGATTATAGTTGTCAACAATTTATATGCATAAATGTTTCCTATTTTTTTAGGAAAGTCCTTTGTAAAAATTTGTAAAAATCTGGGACAAGTTAACAAGGGCATGGGTTTGAGGATTAAAATTACTCTCTACTCAATACTGATCTTTATCAGCATTGATTTTTCAACACATATCTTGAGAGAGGCTGAATAACATTTGAAATAATTCTTCTTGTTCTTCCTGTAATACTAGGCTTTTCTATTCTGTCTTTTGCAAGACTATAGTGTAATTTTACCTCTTTACAGTGATTTTTTAAAGGAGGAGCTCTCCATTTTCATAAGTTCAAAACTCTAATAAGATTTAGACTTTACCTGAAGAATTAAATTTAAAAGAACCACTCTATCTTGAATTAGTTTTCTATTGCTATGATGTATCCTTGGACACTGACCTTTGTTTACCATTATTTATTTATTAAAAAAAATTTAATGTTTATTCATTTTGGGGGAGAGGGAGGGGCGGAGAGAGAGGGAAGGAGACACAGAATCCAAACAAAGCAGGATCTAGGCTCTGAGCTGTCACGGCTGGGCTTGAACTCACCAGCCCTGAGATCAGGACCTGAGCTGAAATCAGACACTTAACCAACTGAGCCACCCAGGCACCCCAACTCTGTTTACCAGTTTTAATTGTGTGCAGAAGTCGGTGTTATTTCAATGAAGCTGAGATTGTTCCCATTTCATACCAAATAATGAAAAAATAAACTAACCACATGTCATTGCTTTTTTTTATTGTCCTTAGAACAAAAGGCTACTTTTCTATAACACCATTGTATCATTATTATCAGTTGTTACAGCAGTCCACAGGCAAAAAAAAAAAAAAAAAAAAAAGAAAAGAAAAGAAAAGGCTTCTCCAGGAGCACAAAGCATCTTGGCAGTGTTGTCCAACAGCAACCCCCTCTCCCACACCCTAGCCTTTATTTCCTCATTACACAATTAGAGCTATTCTTTTTAAGTCTGAGTGCCTAAGTTCAGGGTTTCTGAAAGTCTTTTGTTAGAGGAGATTCAATACAGAGCTTCCAAAGAGAACAAACAGGGCTGATCTCCTGCTCCTGCTGAGATGACCTATGCTCAACCAAACACAGCCCTGCCTCTCAGAGAGCCTCTTGCTCCTCACAGGACAGTAGATTTCTGAGCTGGCATTCGTGTACTCCTTGGCAATCACTACCCAGGAGCTCCAGGGTAGAAGAGCATCCCAGTGGCACCGTGCATTTTATTTACAGCAGCTACTAAACCCTTCAAGAGACCAGCCCAACTAAACTCATTATATGTCACCTGTCACTCACCACAGAAACTAGCATCCCTGCTAGCACCTGCTCCTGCCACCCCTGCATGCCTGCCATCATCAACTGAACCCACAGCACTCCCTATAACCCGATTTTCAGTTTCTCATTTTGTTCCATCCTCTCTAATCCTTCCACCTTGACACCCATAGAATACACGGCCTTTCATCTTCTATGTCTCGGAAATTTTCCTTCATATTTTTTGCCAATGGAAGCTGATTCTAGTCATTTCCATCTTTCCTTCTCCGTTGATCTTTAAAAATCTCCAACTCTTCTGTCATCAACTTGACCATCAGCTATCCACCTGGTAGCAGCCAGCTACCAACATCTCACTAGTTAACAACTTTAGAATGTCCCTCCTTGTAATATCTTCTCTTCCTACTCCTGGCACCACTTGGGTGGCTTTGGTATTCACATGGTTATTCCATGCAAGGCACTGCGCTCTGAATCACTGTACCTCCTCACCTTCAGTGGCCTTTTCCTCCATTTCAAATCAAACACTAGCTCCTTCTGTTCATCCCTTGATGCTATTATTATTATTAGTACTTACGCACTCTCATCATTAAACATCTTACTTTCTGGACACTCCTCCTAATCTTCCAGTTAAATGGCTTCAGGTCTCATCTTACTCAAATTCCTCAAACGCAATTGAGACAGCCAGTCCACTTTCCTTCTCACTCTTTCATTATCTACCATTCCCTTCATGACCTCACTTCCATCCCAAACCAACTTAGATTCTATACCCCACTATTACAAGAAATCCTCCCTTGAAAACATCCTTGACTCCCTGTTCCTCTCTTTTTTTCTTGTTCTCTCCTGGGAAAGCCCCAACTCTAATCAAAAGCAAATATTTTGTCACACTTTTTCTGCACTAACACGGCTGGAGAAACAATGCCAACTGTGTTGAGCAATCCCCTTTTAAAGACATAACTAAATGGGTGTTACATGTTGCCTAGAATCAATTTAATGGAATATTTCATTTTTTTCAACTTTATTTTCTTGAAATACTTTAGAGCATTTCAACTTTTATTTTAAAATACTTAATATAAGGAAATATTTCATATATGCAAAAGGCAAAGGTTTTTCCATCTTCAGATATTTCACTTAAAAATGTGAGATTTGTGTTAGGTTTCAATTATATGATTATAAATGTAACCAAAAATATTTTGGGATTATTATTAAATGGCTTTATTTCATACTAACATGAACTTTAAGTATAACAACATTAAGCATAGAATTTGAAAGTACATGAATTTCATGTAATAAATAACCTTTTTTATTGTAGGGATGAATATCAAGTAATAAATTATTTAATAGTAAACAAATAATTACCAAAGAAATACTGACTGATAAGAAAGCACAATTCTGTTGCTGCTTATGACCAAACCAAATGATTTCATCTTATTTAGAGTTTAAGAAAATAAGAGAAGAAAATCCGGAAAAACTTTCAGTGACACTGGTTTATTACTAAGTTGAATACCATTAACATTATTTTAAAAACATTAATGCTTGGGGGTGCCTGGGTGGCTCAGTTAGTTAAGTGTCTGACTTCAGCTCAGGTCACGATCTCAGTTTTGTGAATTTGAACCCCATGTCGGGCCCCACATCAGGCTCTGTGGTGGTGACAACTCAGAGCCTGGAGCCTGCTTCACATTCTGTGTCTCACTTTCTCTGCCCCTCCACTGCTCAGACTCTGTCTCTCAAAAATAAACAAACATTAAAATTTTTTTTTAAAAACATTAATGCTTATAACTTTTTGCATCAAAAACTGTTTAGATGTCTTAAAAGACTTAAAATAAAAATTTTGTATTCTTTCTCACTTTATGGTTTAATTTTATTTGATATTTTCAAGGGTACCAAATATTTTTTTAAAAGCATAAAATGGAACTTATGTTTTAACTGTATAAAATGACAATCACACTCTAAAAATAATCCATTGTTAAATTTATAATCTCATATAATTTATTACAATTTAAATAATTTTCAACAATTTACAGTAGTTGTTAATCTAGAAATTGACTCAATCTCTTTAGTAAGAGTCAAGAAGCATAAATAAATAAAAGTATGAAAGAAATTTAAGAAAAACTATCTATTTGTTGGGAGAGTAAAATAAAACAATAGGAGACCGTTTCAGTGCCTGGGTGGCTCAGATGGTTGAGCATCTGACTTCAACTGAAGTCATGATCTCATATGAGTTTGAGCCCTGTGTCGGGTTCTATGCTGACAGCTCAGAGCCTGGTGACTGCTCCGAATTCAGTGCCTTTGTCTCTTTCTCTCTCTTTGCCCCTTCCCTGCTCATGTTCTGTCTCTCCCTTTCTCAAAAATAAACATTTGAAAAAAAGTTTTTTTTAAATAGGAGACAGTGTCACTTGTGACACTGAGAGAAAATTTGCTCAAGTATTGCATAAGTCAACTGGAGGATAATGAAATCTTTCTCAGCAGCAACAAGAAAGGACCCCATCCTGGAGAGTAAAGAATGATCAAAGTGTCTGCCATGATACTGAAAGAGTCTCTGTAAGTAATAAAAGCAAAACCAAACCGAACTGGGAACAAATCCTCATCTTGTAAAAAGGCCTCGTACTATGGTAAGTATTGGAAGAGGTACAATCTGGCCCTTTTCCTCTTTCTTTTATTCTCATCCTGGAAGGGGGGGAGGGTGTCACATAATTGAATCTGTATCAGTACTGATAAGATTTCCAACCCTCTTACTGACAAGAAATAGGTAGCCAGGGGCCCAGACCCACGATACAAAACAGATGAACATAGGGGAAGGGAAGCAAAAATAATATAAAAATAAGGGAGGGGGACAAAAAATAAGAGACTCTTAAACACAGAGAACAAACTAAAGGTTGGTGGAGAGTTTTGGGTGGGGGTGGATGGCCAAATGGGCAAGGGACATTGAGGAAGACATTGGTTGGGAGGAGCAGTGGGTGTTATACATAGGAGATGAATCACTGGATTCTAGTCCTGAAATCATTATTGCACTATATGCTAAGTAACTTGGATGTTAAAAGAAAGAAAGAAAGAAAGAAAGAAAGAAAGAAAGAAAGAAAGAAAGAAAGAAAGAAAGAAAGAAAGAAAGAAAGAAATATGGAGGGACACTACACATTCTTTTGGAATTAATGTTAAAGGAAATCTTATTAATATGATAAAGCCTATAATTCTTTCATTTTGATGCAGATCATAGATGTGCAGTTTTGCTCTCTAAGACTTCTGATAGATTTCTTGGGTGTTCAGAAAAATTTGATATTTATCTAGCTGTGCTTGAGGGAGGAGTCAAGGTTAGGGTCTCCCTACTCCGCCGCCATCTTAACCCTCCTCTCAAAAGCATCTCTTATTGTGACTTACATCGAAGAGTCTTAAATCGGTTTTTGTTATAAAATTCATTTGTTTGATTCTTTAAAGTTGTATTATCTTCTAGAAGGAAACTAGAATTTTACGACATTCATGACAAACCAGGATTACATGGCCTCATATAAGAATTATAAATATTGCTCATCTAGAAGAACTTGGAGGTCCTGCCTGGTGAGTGGGTTTTCTAGGTAGGTAGACTTCACAACTCTAGCTCATCATACCTTCTTTACATGAGGAGGGGCACGATGTCCAGTCACTATATGGTGTCACAATACAGTCCTTCCTACAAGGAAGCAGACAGGGTCTCACTGTTTCAGGTCGAAGGCTTTCAGGACACCTAGAAAATGCAGAGGGAAATTACTAGGCCTCTTTAGTAACCCAGAAAACTACGTAATTTGATGTTTTTAAGTCTTTCATTGCTAAAATTGCTAAAGAGTCACTAATCTATATTATTTAAATTCCAGGAGCCAGTCTGCTTTTGATAAGAACTATATAACTAGATTATTTCTTCCAAACTAGACCTCAAAAAGTTCTCAAGGCAGGATATATAAATTTAATAATAGTAATCGTGCTATTAGAACAAAATATAATTTACCTTATCCCCTTATAATAATCTTTCTATTAAAAATATTTTCTAACGTGCTCTATAAGAAATTTATGGGAATTCAAATTACCAATTTAAGAACTAATTCTACATCTTTGTATAGGTAAATAAGCTTATTGCTGATTATGTTTCCAGGTTATTCTATGTTTTATTTTCACAAAATATGTGTAGCATAAATTTATAATGGAGTATATTCAATACATAGTGCATGCTCAAAAATGATACTATATTTACAGCTATATATTTCATAATAATAACAAAATAATAAAAGTGTACAGATCATTAGGATAGGCAGTTTTTTCCTTTAGTCCTGGTTTCATTTAGTATCTCTATTCTAAAGAATTATGGAATTTTAAATATTTTTATAAGTTACAATATGTTTTGGACCAAAAGAGTAAATATAAATAAATCAAAGATAGCCAATCAATTTAAAGAAAAATAAAACACCATTCTTGACAAATTATAGTAAAATTAATCATCTTAAAAAATACAGTAAAAATATTTATTATGGACATGAGAAAGATGATGATCCAATATACTAAAATGTCTTTTTTTTTTTAAATGTCTTACTTCATATAAGCTTTTGCACTTTTTATAAGATAACTTTAGGAAGGTGATGTAAGAGTTTTAAGTATACTTTTATGTATACTTAAATGATTTTTCAATTTCCCAATTCTTCTCTGTATCTTCAAGACCTGATTCTACTATTGGTGGTCAAATGTTGATCACTAGCATTAACACTGGAAGAAGAGGTAAATTAAAGACAACACAACATAATAGCATAAATCGTAGGACTAAAAGTAACTTCCTGTTCTGATTCCTAAGAAGTTATCTTTTGATGTCATATAAATCTTTGACAAAGAAGCTAAGAGGCAGAGAAGAAATAAACTGAACAACTAGTATTACTGTTGCTGGAATAACTTGGCAAATTAGTGAAAAATGGGATTTAAAAATACTCCCTACGGGAGAAGCCAAATTTTCTGTAGGTCAGGATAAATTATCTTTTAACAAGTAAGTTAACCAGGATTTCAGAACTGAAGTATGAGTGAAAAAATACCAACATCATTAATCTCCTTCCCATAATTTCTTTATTGCACTTTGCTGACAGTTCACTTTTTATATCACTGTATTATAATAATTTATCTACATATCCCATCTCATACATAAATATTATGTTCTATTCAATTATACAGATATATGCTTTCCCCTTTCACTCTGTAACACTAGGGTTTATTTGGAAGTGGATTTAAAAATTATATATGACTCCACATTTCAAAAAAAATAATCTCCTTGTTGAGGATAACCTTGAATTTTCATTTTAAAAAATGTCTATTTATTTTTGAGACAGAGAGACAGAGAGAGCATAAGCAAGGAGATGCAGAGAGAGAGGGAGACAGAGAATCCAGTACAGAGCCTGATGTGGGATTTGAACTTGTGAGTCATGAGATCATGACCTGAGCAAAATCAAGAGTTAGATGCTTAACTGACTGAGCCACCCAGAAGCCCCAACCTTGGATTTTCCTAATTGCTATGACTACTCAAAGTCATGGACAACAAAGAAGTTTAGATGGGAGTCATAGAAGTTAATGAATTGTTACAATTGAGATTATAAATCACTAGAATTTTAATTTAACCTGCATTCTTAGGAAACAGTATATGGCAAAACCCCACCTATGATACTGTTAATTCTTTTGAAATTATGCAATTATTGATTAGTATTTTTGGGAGCACTCCTTTGCAATGAAGCAATTTTACAACTCTAATAGTAAGAGAACAGGGGCGTCTGGATGGCTCAGTCAGTTAAGCTGCTGACTCTTATTTCAGCTCAGGTCATGATCTTGTGGTGTGGTTTGTGAGTTCTAGCCCCTCTTGGATCTTCTCTCTCCCTCTCTCTCTGCCCCTCCCCCACTTGCATGCATGCTCTCTCTCTCCCTCTCCCTCTCTCTCCTCAAAAATAAACATTAAAAAAAAATAATGGGAGAGCATTACTCAGTTGTGAGCTCTTCAAATTTTAGCCCTTTTATAAATCAATGGAATTTACAGTGTTATCGTTGACAACCTCCAAAATTCTGTTTTAGTTTAAAAATATCCACAGCAAGATACTTGGCTAACTGTGGAGAACAAAATTACTAACAACAAAGCCGTTAAATGAACACACAAAGATAAATTATACAGCCTAGATTACATCCAATAAAATGAATTCAGACTTCCTTTGGTGAAGCAATTGGTTCAGTCAACATGCTTCTTTTCTCCTTTGTACTGTTTGTATTTAGTGTTTGTGGTTTAAATCAAGGAATTGATTTCCCCCCAAATCTTATTCAAGGTCAAATTAAACAGATGTGATAGGAGTTGAAGTTTGTTACTCTGAGGATAGATAAGATCAATAACATTGATTTTACCATTGCAGAGTAATCTGTTTTATTAAGAGGAGTTTAAAACAATGTTTTTATTTGCATTTTTGTTTCAAATGCCTTGCACTGAAAAGCATTCATTGAATTTAATCTAGCTTTTAGGGATAAAGGCAGTAACATTTTCTTTCGAATTCACAGCATTTGCTTAATTTTTCAGAACTTTAATGGCAAAGTAAGTGCATTTAATTTAACAAATCTATACATGTATCCAGGTCATTGAATAAAGGCTGCAAGGGCAAAGCAAATTTTTAATGGATTATTGTGGTGGTTTGACATGGGGCTACAGGATACCCTTCCTATTGAATGATTTAATGACATTAATCCATCAGGCTCTTTCACACGTAAGTTTATATGCATGTATATTAGTGCTTGGCAAAAACAGTTTGGAACTTGTATAAGCGAGGGAAATATCAACAGCAATGTTTGCAAAGTGATTAACAGTAGAATAGGAACAGAGTGAGCTTACTCATAGCAGATTGGCATGATAGCCCTCAATCCTGTGCCCGGTTGCTCAGGTCATAACCCTGGGCAGGGAATATTTCTATCTTCATACTTGTCCCAGCAAGACCCAGAATCCTCAGGATTTGGCATTTCTGCCCCTACTGTTACTGCCAGATAATTTTAATATGCTGCATGTTAACTTCCTGGGTTAGATTCATCACAACTTTAGCGTTATTTCTATTAAAATATTGGTTTGGGGCTACCAATTAAGGATGCGGAACAGTTTCTCAATTTATTCAAGTCTTCCTGGCCTATCTTTTCTAATATTTCAGAATATCAAATTACATAGTCAAATAAAGTATGGGGCAAAAATATCCTTAATGTCTGGAATCCTGGCCAGGTAAAAACAACTCCTAATAGGAATATTATTTATGCCCTAAAGTTTTTCATACATCAGGTACACTATTATCATTTCCTTAAAACACACTAGGAAGGATCTCAAATTTTTAAGAGAAAATAATACTTTCTAAGATTGAGTGCTCACATGACTATTTTTTGCATTAAATCCTTTCAATAAACATTGAAAACTAAGGCCAGAATCAATTAAGTAGCATGCTGAAGGTGACACATCACAGTTATGCACCTGGACAAGTATTTGGAAATTATGGACATTTTAATACCAATGCAAAATTGACTGGTTTTACTTTGCGTGTTTCATATGGCTAAGAAGATATGAATTCTAAAAGATTTATGCTAAGTCTCAACAGATAAAAGTGTTTTTTTCCCCTTAAAGGGATACGTTTTTAGAACTGACTTATTAATTTTCCCAAATTGATTAGCTCAGTTATGCCATGACACGTTTCTTCATTTTATATCTTGCACAAGGTAGGTATACTATGTCAACTCTCTAGTTCTTTGTCCTCTCTCTCTAGCAAATTGCTTGCCTGGTTATTATACTACTTGTAACCACAGTGAGAAACGGATGGTTTTTCTACTTATCATAACACGCATCCTATCCCAAGGCTCTCTCTTAGAAGTAAATGGCTTATTCATTTAACCATTAAAAGATGTAATAAGTTTGGCCTCAGTATTTTTGATATAGTATTTTCCAGGGGAAATGAAAGGCAGATCATAGAATGCTACAGCCCAATTAAACTAGATCGGCAGACTCCACAGCCTACGGGTACATGGGAGGTCATGGATCATCTGCACTGTTAGGACTTCATATACGGTCATTATCGATCAGCCAGGCCCAGAGCAAGCACTTCCCTCACTGCCTCACTAGCTTCATAAAAGGAGAAAGCGCTACTAGAAAAATGAAAGTAGATAGCACAGAGAAATACTTCTACGGAATTCATAGATCCCAGGCACAAGATTCCGGAGCCGTTAGAACTTTGTTAGTGGCTGACGTTCAAAACAAACAAATCTTACTCTTGAGGACAGGTGTGACAAGCATCAAAATGCTCCATTTCATGAAGCAAGTGAAGCCTGAGCCAATCCCCTGCATGGTTGACCACAGTATTTACTGCTGTCATTCTGAAGCCCTTACTTTTTTGGTCCCACTTGGCCCACATTGACCCGCACACAGATGACTTTTCTCGTCTGCATGCCCACGGAGCAAGAGGCCTCCCCATTCCAAGTTGTAGTTGTGTTGAAGGACGATACGGAAGTGTCCTCGATGCACTGGCCCCAGGGGCCAGTCTGCCAGTGGTACACAGTACAGGGATGCTCATTACAGCTGCGTACCTCTTGTAGAGCACTGCTATTTGGACAGTGAACTCCACCTATAAAAATGAACAAAGAGGATTAGATATGGTGCTAACAGGAAACTTACTGTTCTCTCTCTTTTGGAATTAACGATAACAATGATACCCGCCATTTATTAGCACATAGCCTGTGACCAGCATGCTGCTAGGAAGGCAAATTACATATTAATCTTACGTCATTTGGCATCCTCCAGGTTAAAATTTAAGCTATACAGTATACATGGTATTTGCCTGTGGTGGGGGGGGGGGAACTATGGAGCACCTTAAAGAGAGAGGCCATTGTTCTCCAGAGAAGCTGAAAATGAGGTACAAATGGACCCTATGGATTGCTGGCCCAGGGAAATGTGGGCACTGAGACTCTATGCATGGTGAAAACCCAATGTGTTCTCAAATGTTATCTTCCAAATTGAAAATCTTAAATATGTGTTTTGAAGTATTGCTTCTTTTAATACATTAGGCATTTGGGCAATTAGAAACAGGTTTTTTTGTGTGTTTTTTTGTTTCTTTCTTTTTTTTTTTTTTTATCAGTTGATGCTGCCTGATCTTCTACAGCATTACTGGGAAAGCCATGTAGTAATGATAGTACCATATTTATTGAAATCTAAGATGTCACTGGCTGAGAGATATACCATCATTTTATTCCTCAAAGAAAGAGCAATGGCTACAAGTTAAACTAGGATACATTGCTTTCTTTTCAATCCTATTTTTTACTGATGCTTATTGAAATCCATTTGTATGATTTATTTACATTTAAAAAAATATATCACTTGATTGCATACATTAAAAGGGAAGACATTCCTCAATCTCATTTTCAGAGTCCAAATCTCTTGAGTCACTTTTTAACTCACATGAATCAAAGTTTGTTCTCCTATACAGAACCATCATCCTGTTTCAAAAGTGTTGATGATGTAGGATTTCTTTAAAAAGAGTACTCCCTGTTGTTTCCAGGTCTTTCTTCCCATCTCTAAGTTTTGATGCTGTTGCGTTCTTAACTGCACCAGAAGTTGTCAACAAAAGATTTAAGCAAGCAACGAAGAATGGTTCTTTGCTGTTTTTATTTTTAGCAGACATATCATGGAATTGCTATTGTCACCAGGAATAACAACACAATTCACATGTACTAGCAATGACAACTATGTTATAACTTCTGTCTGGCTATAGTGGTTTTAAAACGCATCCATTGTAAGATGTAATAATTACAGAGATAATAAAAGGTAAAAGGGATACGTCTTTTAATCAACAGAATATGGTGTGAAGTTATCATTTTGGAACCATTTTTTATGTGCTAGCCTTGTTATAAGTACTCTGTATGTGGGACATTATTTTATACCCCAAACTGCCTGACAAGTTAAAAATTATAAGGCGAATGAACTAATGCAACTTAAATGACGTAACAGTAACAGTTAAGAATTTATGGAGCTCAGTGTCTTACCACTATGCTATTTATAATGCCAATTATAAAAATAAAAAGCTTTGTATCGTTAAAAGCAGAGTCGGGGAGCAATTTATTGCTTACTTTATTGACAATTTAATCAATTTGAACTTATGTAGCCTCTGAATTTTATTTTAGGGGCAGAAAATACCTGGTTGTTAAATAAGAAAAGGTGATTCAATAGCTAGTGATCCTAACAGGGAAGACAACTCCAAAATTTGAGATGTGGGTAAAAGTCATAAACAAAACCACACTCCGAGATGATCTTCATTTATCACTTCACTTATAATTAAGGGCATCCCTCTAATTCAGCAAATAAATCGGTAGGCAGTTTATATGAGAATTTAACTGCAATTCAGAATCATTTATACAGTGGTGAGCATGGGATCAACATCAGAATGAAGTAGCATTTCGTTAATGTCCCTGCTTCATGATGGTGAAAACATCTGTCACAGATCATAGCCTATCCTCCATCACACAGCTCAGTGACCCTGGCAGCCTCTGAAAAGAAGTTTAGGATTTGAATAGGAATGGATTCTAAAACATACTAATTGGATCGGGGAGAAGTAAATGAGCACTCTTATTACCCATTCCCTGAGGCTCTAGATTTATCCAATCTTCTCTCTCAGACAAACACATGCTAATTATAAACATTCATATGCACATTTTAGGCAACCATTTTAACCATACCTTAAATTTAATAGTGAAATTATTGATCTACAAAAAAAGTGTTTCTTTACTTACCTCATTTTTACTGTGAGTGTATGTATGCTGTTTAAACTGTGATTCTAAAACTCCTCAGTTGTTTTTGACATTGGAATTGACTGGCTGGCTTTGGAACAAATGATAAGAAAAAAACTTCTACAACATCAGTGTAACGTGTTGAGGAACTGCAAGATGGTTGTTAAGTTTACAGACATAAAGGCTATTTATTTTCTTGCCCCAGTCCACATTAAAGCCACATCAGCAGCTTTGGACTGGTGTCAGGATACTCGCACAGATAAGCCCCAATGTGTTCTTAATTAGAATGACGATACGGGAATTTTGAAAGCATGGCTTGGGGTAATCAGTCATTGCGGCATCCGTTCTGTTGTTTTGGGAATAATTTTATGGTAGAAAAATTGATAGATATAATGTTGAATTTATTTATTATTTATGGGAAGATCTAATTCTAGACACGTGGGAATATTTCCATAGTACTGGGGAAATTATAAAATGTCACCCATGACAAAATTAGTGATAAATGGTATTCTTAAAAAAATCCTCTTATACATGAAAATATATGCTTCATACTAATGTGACTATTTAGGCTTTTTATCATTCTGGCAAGTGGACAGACTTTATATTACTCTGATGAAATTCTACTGTATAAAGAAATGTCCATGCTCATATAAAAACACCAACTACTATTTGCGAAACGTCTCTAACAAATGAAAAAGTAACTTTTCCTCCCCACATCAAGTCCCTAAAAGCTGTGTTAACATACATTTGAACAGAGCTATGGTGTTCCTGGGTTTCTGGCTCTGACATTGAAGTTCTTACAATTTAAATGGCTGAAAAGACTGAAAAGATAAAGGAACCGTGTTCGAAACATTAATACAAGTGTATTGAGTGTTATAGTAGGCAATGTTTATGTCCAGCGCTTCAAGAGATACCTAGCAGGGTTATAAATAGTTTTTGCTGCTCTCAAGAATCTTATAATGCAGTGGGGGAAAGTAGTAGGCATAGGCAAACACACAAATGGGTATAATTTTAGTCAGAATATAGTAATAATGTTAAGAGAGGTAGTATAATTGGGATTCAAAAGTATAGATTCCATTAGTTTTGGAGTGACTAAAAAATGCCTCAGGTAGAAGGCAATGAGATGAGTTTTGAAGGAGTGGGATTTTGACAAGCAGAGTTCTGGGAAGGGAGAGAAAAAAGGGAAAATTTTATTGAGGCAGAAGAAAAAATAAAAGGCAAGGCATACAGGCAGATATGATTTTGGGAATTTGCAATGTTGATACCGTCCATTAGGGTGCAAAGTTCACACAGAGAAGGAACTGGCCTTCAGTATAAGGAAGTGGACCGGTTCCTGCTAAGTGGCTATTAGTGTACTATGAATTATAGCTTTAAAGTGCTCGTAGTTTTTACTGCTTATTGCAGCCCCAAACCCTTTGACAGCCGACCACCTCTAAGTGAAAAGCACACTGGCAGTGGCATGATTTCGGGGAACTGAAATGGAAGAATGTTAGCCAGAGAGAACCTCAGAAGATTCTGCTGTAGCACACCATCTCTACTCCTTTTCCCCTTTGTTTTTCCTTGCAGAAAGAGATAGAAGACTTCCCACCATGGAGTCTGCATAAATCTTGTTTGGTGGTTATGGAGGGACAGACGACTCCTGTTTCAAAGTCTAGAATGGGAGGGTGAGGAAGCAACAGCACTTTTACCTAGAAGGCAGAATTATGTGTGGATATACCTAGATAATGGATCCTGAGTTCTTCAGATTTGTCCAGGAATAAAAACGCTCCCTGGCCCTTAGGATTAAAAGCTTTTAACTGTGAAAACCCCAAGTTAAAATATAAACATTCCTCTACCCAATGTTTTGTACTTTAAAATACAATTTTTGAAGACTGCTAATTATTTGTGAAAAAAATTGGCACAACTCTATTTTAATTTGCATCTATTCTCTGTATGTTTAAAGCAGGTGTAAATACACACTAAAATTTGGCTGATGAAATTATCATATCAGGTCATTTTGAACTTTGCAAAAAAAAAAAAGCTCATTTCTTGCTGTGTAAGGATAATTAACTATATAATGAGACTTAAGTTGTTATCATACTCAGTGGAAAACATTTTGAAAATCATGTTTTCTTTTAAGCTAAGTTTATTAAGAGATCTGCAACATGGGTTCAAAAAATTCGGAAGGCTACAAATCTAACATCAATTTTTAATTTATTATTCCAATTCAACATACTATTAGTTATATTAAAAATATGCCAGAATGAAGTGTTAAAACATTGCTTCCTTTTAGATCTTTCCACATCATTTTTTTTTCAGGGCTAAGAGCATCAGCACTTTTATCCCCTCACTGGGTGGCTAGGCCTGAGACACCAACGAATGACTCTATAAAACTCAGAGGAAACCAGGAGCTAGTGCAAGTCCAGGGAAAAGGGTCAAGGTCACATCGAATGGTCACTGCTATCAAAACAACCCTGGTTGTACACTTTGGCTACCACCTTGTGGTCAGCAAACCAGCGCATGTTGAGGGCCTGGATGGCCTTGTGAGCCAAAGAGGCAACGGAAAACTCCAGAAAAATCTTGGCATGATCTCTGCATCCTTTTCCTTGCATAATTTTAAAGAAGCTTTGGGACCCACCCAAATATACAGTTTATCCAATATAAGGAAGATTTTTACCTCAAGGTATCATACAAATCTAAAAAAGAAATTCCAATTTTATTTAACCAGAAGTCAAGGCCTAGGAAGCTACACACACACACACACACACACACACACACACACACTTATTTTTTTAAGTTGAAAAAAATATTTTTATTTTCTTCAGTATATTAACTACCTACCTCTAGTTGCTACCATTTGTATTTGCTTTCCAAATGACATTTGGATAAGAATCATTTTATGACAATTTTTGTGTATTGCCGATAATAGGTTACAAAGTGTTCCTCAAGACATGCACACATCATAAGAAGACGAAGTAAATCAAGGGTAAGACCAGGAGCTAGCACTCCTTTTTCTAGCACACAGGATTATATTCCCGGCCCACCCTGCCATGATTGAAATGAGGTTCAACTTCAAGCTGTGATTATATGATTTGCTTTGCCAATCAAATGGCAGTAGAAATGATATATCACTTCTGGATGGAAGAATTTAATGCTGATGTTCTGAAAGCAGCAGAGAGACTCTTCAACTCTTCTTCCACTGGCATGGGGACGAAGACGTAGGTCTTCATATGGAGGTTCAACACTCCAATGCCGACTGTCTTAGCAACTTACCCAGCACCACAGCAAAATTCCCATAAGGGAAAAATAATTTCTCTTTGAAGGTTTTGAGCTTCTCAGCTGTTTGTTACTGCAACACAACTTGGGCTGCTCTAATTAATACAAGAGGTTGTGTAGTCTTCAGCATATAATGTTTAACAGTGAAGTTATGACTGAGGTAAATAAAAATGTATCTTTTATTTTGTGAAGCAGCATTTATTTTGTAAATCCAGATAAATACTTTGCACACAGATTTGTGTGTAAATCTGGATAGATACTTTGCACATGGATTTGCACAGAAGTTATTTCACTAGAAAACTATATGTCTAAGCATGCAATATATAATTCTAATAATGTGACTTTTCCCTTATTGTTATCATAGTAATATTCTGATTTAGAAAATGAAGAAAATTCATGACACTTACAAAACATTAATTCTTGGGGAATAACAGAAAGACCTACTTTTGTGTAAAATTATAAAGGGTTTCCTACTTAGCAGGGAAACACATTTTAAAACTTCATGCAAACAAAGTTCTTAAATAATTTCAAAAATAGCTCAAAATTATGAGACTTTTTGTGAAAGAGAAAATATGTTTCAGTATCTAGCAAATAATCGGTACTAAATAGTTTTTGAAGGACAGATTCATTAAATACCTCATATAATTATACAAGTTTCTGTAGCTGTTATTAACAGAGACAAACATCAGCAGATTCCCTACTGACAGTTTCCTCTATGGTTTCCACGTAAAATTATGTTTTGAATTCATGCCTTTATGATTTACTCTATAAACATCTATAATTTTCCAGCACAGCTTGCTTATGACACAGCTACTAGACTTAATTAAAAATTATCGAAGTCTCACCCTTTCAAACTAAGAAGATGATACATACCAAAGAGCAATCATAAATTTCTGCCTTTAAAGCATTTCATGACCTTTCAGTGTGAAGCATCATGTCTATAGAAATAATGATCTGGTGAGTTCTGCAAGCATGGCAAAATCTCTGCCATGTGACTCACGGGGCAAAAAGTCACTCATTACTAGTCACACAGCAAGTGTCTGCAGAGTATAATAGATTTATAGGAAGCACAGTGACCACAGATCTAATTCTAATGAAGTCCAAGACATAATCTGAGCTGATAGAGTTTGAAGTCCGAATATAATCTATACAAGGTTAGAGCTATTGTTTGACAAGACAAGGAATATGACTTCCTAAAAGGTTCTATCTTTTTGTTTGGTTCCATGATACACTATTTTAGGGGGTTGCAAACAGTTAAATTTATATTAAGGTAACTGGAAAAGGTTTTTGGACACTTTAAAGACAATTATAAATTTTGCTACGGGTTGACTGTGTCAAATATGCTAAATTTTTCTCTCATGTCTTAAGACCAAGGTAGTTATATTTTTGCATAGCTATTATATTCACAGACAGCAAGTTTGGCCAAAGGAAAACACCGTCAGGTTTCCATCACGAAAATGTTTCACGAATACAAAAATAAAACTGGAAGCATAAAAATTCCTCCCCAATCTATTATTTGGGGATATACACACAGAGAAACACATGCATGCTACAAATAGAAATCATTATTTACATGTGCTAAATGGGAAAGAGGAGAAGACTCATTCAGCTTGATAATGTTTCAATAATATGTGCCTATATTCTTGAGACAGAACATGCCTTAATGTGATAGAACTTGATGACTTCTATGTTTTCCTTACTCCTATGATATTCTCAAGAATGGCAACATTAAGTATAACATATCACCCAGTCACACAGAGGCCGAATTAGCATTTGGATGTAAGCCTGAGAGACAATTATCAAGAGCCTTGTATTTCTCTACAATAAAGCTTATACAAGTCACGTATGAATTTATGACACAGCATATTTTATTTCCCCAGTAGGATGAGGTGATTAAGGAGCAGCATATTTTAAAAATGAACACAATCAGGGGGACCTGGGTTGTTCAGTCAGTTAAGCGTCTGACTTTGCCTCAGGTCATGATCTCACGGTTTGTGAGTTCGAGCCCCGTGTCAGTCTCTGTGCTGACAGTTCAGAGCCTGGAGGCTGCCTGCTTCCATCCTGTCTCCCTCTCTCTCTCTGCCCCTCACCCACTTGTGCTTTCTCTTTCTCTCTCAAAAATAAAATAAACATAAAAAAATTGTTTTTTAAATGAACACAGTCTACATATATGAGACTTCTGGATCTTAGAACCTATGTTCAGTAACCTGAATGGCAGATAATACATGTAATTTTTAGTCAACCAATAGCTGTGCTAGTGTTTCTCTAAAAACAAACAAACATAAAAACCAAATAATAAAAATCCCACCTTTACTATTGAACATATATGCCTATTTATGAGAAGGTAGAATGAGATTTCAAAAGCAAAAACTGACTACTGAAATAGAGAAAAATAATCAAACCTGACATCTGGAATTTGGGGAGCCTCTTTCAGACTTCTTCCCAGGTTTACCATTTAAACTGGAAAGCAATTATTAGGAGGGTAGAAAGGCAATGTGAGTTTACTTTTAAGAGTCTTTCTTCTTTTAATAAGGATCTATTTTCAAGATTAACTTTGGGGAATGGGAGTAAGTTGCTAAATATGTTAACAGATATTAAATTTCCTTGATTTCTGGGATTCTGGAAGTAGATCTCCGGAAGATTTTTGTAGAGCATCACCTCAACCAGGGAAGACAAAAAAAAAGGGTGGGGGGGGGGCACTCCAACTTTTGGAAGGAATCCAAATCCCTCGTGAAGCTGGTGGCCAACCTTACCTTCATCACCGGCATAGGCCAGAATAGATCGTGCTCGTATCTGTTTCCCTTCTGTGGTTTTCCCCGAGCAGGTGTGTGAGCAGGAGGACCACGCAGACCACATGCTGAGCACACAGTCCTTTGGGCATGGGGCATAACAGGCCACAGGGATGGGGAAGATGGCATCTCTACACAGCTGTCTGTCAACTTCTTCTCCTGGGGAAGACATCACCACGAACAATCTATCATTTTTTAAATAAATGTAAAATGAGCAATTGCAACCAGATGGGCACCAAGATAAATTAGGTTATTTTGTTCTTAGTTAAAAACAAAGCTAAAACAAAGTGTACTACAGCCAGACGTTAAAAGAACACCAGGAGTAAATATATATCCTTCAGTGGAGCTTCTTTTATTACCAGAAGTTTAGGTGTGTCAATCAAGCACAGTGCTGAAAGTGTTTTTATACTACAGATACCTACCTGGTAAGTGATTTTTATATTTATAATATTAACCTTGCAATAAGGAGCATCAATGAATTGTGTTCCCCTCTTTATGGCATTGCTGGAAATGAGTCATCATTTACAGATAACAACTCTATCCATAACATGTACCATATGTTCTCATGAACCAACTCAGGTATCTCTATTTGCAAACTCTGTTTCACAGGGAATTTATTTTTGTATGATTGGCAACCTTTTTCTTTCATAAAAAATATTTTGTTAGTTGGAAATAGCCAGGAAATGTGAATAATAGGATAACACTATAAGCCCACTACTTAAGGTGGGCCTGGTGGGAAAGGGGGAGAAACACGACAGAGTAAGCAAATGGCAGAAGATGGCATCACTCCTGTGCTGAAAACTCTTCAGAAGTTTCTTGTTGCTCTTAAGATAGAGATGAGCAATTTAATACTTTATAAGACCTCAAATGACCTGGCTGTGGTTTCTCTTCCCAGCTTTATCTCACTCCACTCCCTCCCTTACCCTGGGAGCTCTACAGATTGGCACTCATTTAGTATTTGTTGAATGAATACAATGAGATATACAAAAGGCCAATGAGAAAAAAAAAATGTTGTTGAGGTTAATAAATGCCAAAGATAACCAAAAGAATTACAAAAAATGACCAAAATAGAAGATGAAATGAACTCTATGGCTTAGTTGGTTAATGTCAGGTGCTAATGACGTCAACGGAACAGAGTGAAACGAAACACAACCAAAATTTCATCTACTATTTTGCCACAAAATATGACCATAATTGTACATGACTCTCTCAGAACGTGTGCCTTGGGCCATTATGCTTTCAGGGGAGAAAGAGTGACTGATTGTGCTATTCTTCTTTGCTGTTAGAAAAACAACTCAGAGCTGTTTCTCACTAATGGAAGGTCAGGAGCATCGTGTTAATGTACAGCCTTTTATTCATATATTTGAAAAACAAGACAAAAAATCAAACATCGATTGGAAAGGCCCTAACATGTTAATAGCTACTAGTTTGCAGGGCTTTAAATCATTAGACACAATCAGAAGTCAAGTGGAATGTTAACAGCCATTACTTTGCAAGGTTTTAAGTTATTAGATTTGCTCACTAGTAAGACTCACTGAAACGACAATTGGACTCATCATTATATTGTTCATTTTTCTTTAGTTACTATGATCTGTGTGATCTCTTTTAATTCTGCTTTTATTGGCTTTTGGGTTTGGCCTATCTCCCAGTAAAACACTATGAAGATAGACTGTAGATTTATAGGTACTGAAGGTTCAGTACAAAAATCATTATAGTACAAGCCATTTAATATTCTTCAATTTACGTAATAATGATGACTCTTTTTCCTAGTAGACATTTTTCTGAGTGCAAGAGGGGACTTGCATGCCTTATTTTCTTCATTGACACTTTTTAAAATTTTTTTTTTCAACGTTTATTTATTTTTGGGACAGAGAGAGACAGAGCATGAACGGGGGAGGGTCAGAGAGAGAGGGAGACACAGAATCGGAAACAGGCTCCAGGCTCCGAGCCATCAGCCCAGAGACCGACGCGGGGCTCGAACTCCCGGACCGCGAGATCGTGACCTGGCTGAAGTCGGACGCTTAACCGACTGCGCCACCCAGGCGCCCCTCTTCATTGCCACTTTTAATGTTCCATCTACTCTCTTTTACTTTCATTTCTAGTATCCTGTGAAAAGTCAGGCAAATTTGGGGCTACAGCCTACAGTCAGCCAGGAATTACAGTTTTATTTCTTCTCTAATAGTTACTTAATGATTTCTACTCAAAAAAATTTAACTCATTCTGCAACAATTCAACTGTGCTACATGTGTTATAAGATTAATTTGCATTAGCATAAATGATATATTTCTCTTTCTCATACCATAAACTTAAGGGATGCACAATTTGAACGCTTCTTACTTTACAAGTTATTCTTTTTTTTCTTCTCTTTTCTTTTTTTTTTTTTTACAACCTGTGTCTGATACCTTATGTTAGCTCATTTTCATTCACCTTGTTCTGCTTAGCCAGGTGTATTTCTGGCCAGGCACAATCCTTCTAGAGTATGTCTCTTTTTTGTTTGTTTATTTTTGAGAGTGAGAGAGGAGAGTGCTTGAGAGTGCACATGCTGACACAGGAGAGGGGAGGGGCAGAGAGAGAAGGGGACAGAGGATCTGAGAGCCTGATGCGGGACTCCAACTCACAAACCCTGAGACCATCACCTAAGCCAAAGCTGGATGCTCAAGTGACTCAGCCACCTAGACAACCCCCCTTTTAGAGTACATTTTAATCCTCTGCAAAGCTATTAAGACTCACCTTGGATCCAACCTCCAATATTTCCTTAGATTTCAGCCCTTTCTTCACTCTCCCCAGCTTTGCCAGGTAAGCCCCTGGCCCTGATTGCTCCCAATGGCTTATCATTGTCTTGCATCCAAATAATTACATTATGTTCCAGCCATTATGGCTTTTTCCTCTCGTCTCCTACAGATCAATCTCATCACTGCCTCAGGGCCTTGGCATTGTCTCTTCATTTTGTATGAAAACTTCAGACTTCCTCAGAGATTACTTCTCAATATTCGGGTTTTAGTTCAGTTGTCTCCTTCCTAGAGGAGGCTTAATTGATCATACACAAACTCACAGTGACTTCATTTTACTTTTCTTACAGCTTTAATCACCATGGGAAACTTTTAATTAATTGTTTACAAGTTTATTTTCTGACCCTACCACTAGATTAAAAGCCCAATGAGGGCAGGATCTTTATCTGAGTTATTTTATACTCAGAAACTAAAACAGTGCCTAGTACAAAACAGGCACAAAATAATCTTCCCTTAAATGAACAAATGAATTAATTTTAACCTGTTGTTATCAGGAAACAGAATGCTGGACTAGAATAACATGGATTTAAGTAAAGTATTTCTTAACTTGCCAAACATTCAAGTGCTCCAGGACTTGGTTAAAGTGTATTCAGTGGGTAGGCAGCATATGCACCAGCTGCCGTTTGCTAGAGATGCCGTCTCTCAGACCCCATCCACTGAATCATTATTTGCATTTTCTAAAGATCCCCAGGTGATGTGCATGTACATAAAATCTGAGAAGCACTATTCTAGGATTTTTCTGCCTTACTCCTCTTGTGTTTTGAATAGCACCATACTGCCTCTTGAAAGGGGCAGCTACAAATTCATCTGGATTACATACCTAACATCAATTGTTTCTCTGTGGAACTTCCTTTTATACTTCTCTTCATATAAGGTGTACTTAGAGGAAAACATTCATTCCGTGAATACTTACTGATTGCCCATCTTTTGTCAAGCACTGTACTATGAATATTATATACATCATCTCAGCTAATTGTCACAATGAGCTTTTTTTGAGGTATAATTGACATATAATATTGTAACAGTTTCAGAAGCACAACATAATGCTTCAATATTTGTATATATTGTGAAATAATCACCACAATAAGTCTAATTAACATCTGTTTCCACATACAGTTACAATTTTCTCAAGAGATAAAGACTTTTAAAATCTACTTTCTTAGCAACTTTCACATATGCATTACTGAATTATCAACTATAGTCACCATGTTGTACATTACACCCCCATGATTCATTTATTACGTAACTGGATTTGGACCATTCACAACAACCTTCTTTTTTTAAGCTTATTTTATTTTACTGAGAGAGAGAGAGGCAGAGAGAGAGGGAGACAGAATCCCACGCTGTCAGCTGAGAGCCCAACCCCACAAACTGTGAGATCATGACCTGAGCTGAAAATAAGTCAGATGCCTAACAGACTGAGCTGCCCAGTCATCCCTACAATGACCTTCTGATACCGATATTAACATCTAATTTTTACTTTAAAGGAAAAAAAAATGAAGATCAGAAAGTTTAAGCTTACTGTTTCAAAGAGCAGAAGTTTAACTAAAGAAGCAGGGATCTTAAATGTTTTCTAGTCAACTTCTAATCTACAGTTTTTTTAGAGAGAGTGCATGTGTGCATATGAGCTGCAGGGGGTGGGGGTGTGGAAGGGGGGAGAGGGAGAGGGAGAGGGAGAGGGAGAGGGAGAGGGAGAGAGGGAGGGAGAGAGAGAGAGAGAGAGAGAGAGAGAGAGAGAGAGAGAGATGGGTGGAGAGAGAATCCTAAGCAGGTTCCATGCACAGCGAAAAGTCCAACATGGGGCTTGATCCCACAACCCTAGGATCATGACCTGAACCTAAAACAAGAGCTCAGCTGACTAAGACACCCAGACACCATGCCAATCAACTTTTTTAAGTGGCATGGTAATATGGAGAACTTGGGATGCCAAGAGAGTTACTAATGGATGAGTCTTTATCTACAAAGATGTCAAGAAACTGGCACTCTAAATTGTTTCTCAGGGCAAAGTGAAGCATAGGGGTGGCGGTATACTGTGTCAAATACAAAGAGTATGCATGTTGACATGTCCAAGGTTACCTATTTTGGTTTATAGCCATTGGAAAAATGGCAATGGATCTGTGAAAATATGAAATTATTTAGATCCTTGACTTTGGTTTTGACAGGTGCTTTAATCAACTCAATTAACTGACCACTAACTGGAACCCTTAGGAAGTGTGCTCTCTCTCTCTGTCTCTTTTAATGTTTGTTTATTTTTGAGAGAGAGAGAGAAAGTCAGAGTATAAGCAGGAGAGGCAGAGAGAGAGGGAGACACAGAATGTGAAGCAGGCTCCAGGCTCTGAGCTGTCAGCACAGAGCCGGATGTGGACTAGAACCCACAAACCAC